TTCTGGAGCAAGATTTACTACAAATGGATAATAAAAAAAAGAAGGCTAGTACACTCTGGCACAGAAATGTGCTAATATCAACAGAGGCTTTTTCCAAAGAAAGATAGTTGCAAAGCACAAAGAGTTAGCTACTTTCTCCTTAATTATCATCTATAGCTTCTAAGTAGGCAATTTAGATCTGGCTGTCATATTTCAGATGCAAGACTAGCCTACCCATCGCATGCAGATGAGGTGTATAATTTAGAGGATGCTCAATGGGAATGTCTTTATTCAAATGAGATGCTTAGAGAGTGAATGAAAAACTCCCATAAAATACAATTTCCTTTTCCTTCAGAAGCAAGGATTACTTCAAGAGACAGTTTTATTAGCACACTGGAAAGATACTAATAGGTGATTTAAAATAAAATGGAAAACAACATTTGTTTTGCTCACTGCTGTGGCTCAGACATATTCCTTCATCGGGCAATGCCATTCTGTCCCACTAGTACCTATGGCTCAATTCTCCTGACAGCTATGCACATACTTACCTTAACCACTGTTTTAGGTGAGACTGTGGTTAAAATTTAATCATATGATCCTCTGAGCCAGTATTTTCCAAATAGCTTGCAGGTTGTAAGCCCCAAGAAAAGGCAAGATATACTCCAAATGACTTCCCATGCAGCATTTGACTTGGGGGTACCCTGTGTGTGTAGGCTGGGCTAAAGCACCTCCAAAAGTTAAAGGCAAAGAGATTTTAGTTCAGGATCTGCCTCAAGTCTTAACAGACAGCACACTTACGGGATTGTAGTGAAATGCTCCTCCCTTCCCATTGCACTGCGGACCCGCGCAGCCCAGCGCCGCCGCTCCTGGTGCTCACCCCTACCGCAGCCCCGTGCAGCATCCCCTGCAGCCGGGGTCTGAGCGAGGCATTCCCCCCTTGGTCAGGACAGGGATTTGCAGTGAAATAACCACAAGGCAGCAGGTGATGTTATTAGCAGATAATATCTCTGGCTGGCAGTCTGCTGCTTGTCTGTGCAGCACAGCAGCATGAGAGCATTTCTGCTATGCAAAGTTTCATTTAAATCGGTAGCTGAAGCCCAAACATTTCAGTGCAACTCTGCCAGTTATAAGAAAAACATTAAATTCGTGACATGAACAATTATATAGCAAAAATCTTCAATATGGACTTGGTAAGTCAATCCTGAAACCAGACTGGCAACCAAAAAATTTTACTTTTAGGAAGATTGGTTAAAAAGCACCTTAAAATGATGAATACCAGCAACCAATACCTGCACAGCAGGTATACTATTCAACCACTTACTATCAAAGTAAAACTGATGAATAGCGAAGTACATGATAAAAATGTTGCTGGGAGCAGAAGAAAATAATAAACAAACAAAGAGAACCTTCACTAGTACCCTCACTACAGAAAAAATATTGCTTCAGGGCACTTGGATGAGTGACAAATCTGATCTGAAAGGGTGATGGACTGCAAGAGTAACAAATAATTCCAAGATGCTGATTCTTTTCCCCCACTCGAAGAATCATTACTGAGGTGAGGGTCAAGTTGATGAATGTCCTAATGTGTGCCAAATTTGCAACAGATGCTTTACCAAGCACAGATCCTAATGCTAAGAAAAATGGCTACTGTGGGACCAGAGAACGGGGTATCCCTCAGACAGGGAACAGCTCTGCCTCACCATGCTCCTGCCACACACAGGTACCCACCACATGGGCTCTTCTCTGAAGGGATCGCTTCTCCCAACCATGCATAAGCACCACTTCACCAGATTACTCTGATGGTCTTCTCCAGTGATTAACGTACTTATCTGTATTTCCTCCTTTCTCCCTCTTCAAAGGGCAAATGAATCCAAGTCCAGAATTCAACTGGGAAGAGAATGTGATTCTGGTAGAAATGAGAAGCAACCACCTTGTGCAGGGGGTTTCTCTGGGGTATTTTTTTGGTGCTCCAGAAGTTCCTGCTGCCAGAGTTACAATGGCAGTAAGATAATGCAGGAGCCAAGCACAGCTATCATCTTACCATAACTTTAAACTAATATTAATTCTTTCTTGATTTTTTAACTGTATCCTTCAAAACTGTATGCTGGAACTAATGCTTTCTCTTGAATGAATTTACATGGTTTGCAACTTGTAGGTTGGAGCCAAGAAAAATCTCAGTAAGAGAGTATGAGATGCTCCTTGGTTTGCAGGAGCATCTGGAGCTACCTGCTGCGGAGGGCAATGCTTCTTCAGTACATTCAGGACTGGTCTGGGGCTAATGTGAATCACAGGTTTAAAGTCAGCTTGGCAATCCGTATGTTTTAATCCCACATCCCCAGACCCTATCAGCACTTGGTGTAGCCCTCCTGCATCCTCCCTTTCTTTATCTAAGGTGATGGGCCCCAGAAGCACATGGTCACATGAGATGCCCCCCTTTCAGTCTGGAATACTCCCTCCTTGTTCCGATCTTGCTTTAATGGGAACATTTTCAGGTTCCTTCAATCTAATTTCCAAAACAGCCAAGTCCTCTTGCTTTGCCAACCTGTCCTGTTGAGCCTTACAATTTTGTTTATTTGCTTAAAGTTCTTGACACTTACTCATCAACTAGCCAAGGTGTAGCAGTTCAACTTCTAGGAGAAGAAACCAAAACCCCAAACTCCCAGCAACAGGAATGAAAGCAGCTGCTAGCAGCACTGCATGACTTTCTTCATTTCAAGTCCTGCTGGAAGGCACAGCTCAAGCAGCAGCACTCAGGTATTCGACGGCTTCAGTGTCGTTGCTGACAGCCACAACAGCACCGTGGTGTCGATGCTCAGTAGCATCTCTCCTTCCACCTACACCTCCCCCAGCTGTCAGACAATAATCAGAACACTGAAGGCATTTGAAAGGAAAATGCCATGTGAATATGAACTTATTCAGACCTGGATGCAAGACAACTGGTGGGAAATTCATCCTACCTACAAAAAGTCTACATGCCCATGCAGGCAGATAAGCTTCAGGACCACAGTCTCGATGAGGGAGCCTGAACTTAAAATGTGTCTGCTTTTTTCAAGGGTATCAGCTGTTCATACATGAGATATTGCCTTTCCCAACTAAGCTCACTTCTGTTTTTAGAGTATCCTCTTTCCATTCTCTGGAAGGGGCACTAGACAAAAGCAGAAAGAGCAAATTCATGAGGAAGTCACAAGAATATTTAGATTAAACAGTAAAATGACACCAAGTTCCAGAGGCAGCAGCAGGCCATCTTTTCCAGGCACACAGCTGCTACCCCATGCAGTCTGTACATCTTTGGACACTTTTTGCACATGCCTCAGGAACGTGAAGTTCTGCATTGCACAAAAAATTAGTATCTCCATACTTCTCCCAAAACGTCAGCTGCCTAAGTGTCATCTCCCTTCACATCTGCAAATTGCAGGTACATTTCTACCAGAAAATGTACCTGTAGATGTCCATTTGCAGGTACAGTTCTACCAGGAAACGTACCTGCGACGCAACACCAGCCGTGCCACCGTACGTGCCATACACCCTGCCTGTGCATGCCGAGCACGGCCAGCCACAGCTGGGAGCCACACAGGCCGTGTAAGGGCCAGCTGCAACCTCAGCTGGATCTCTTCTGCAAATAGACTGGTTTGCATCACCTTTCCAACACGCCGGAATGCTACAATTACCCAGCAATGTTTCCAGTTTTCTAATAAGCAAGACTGTGGGAAATTGCAGATCCAGCCACATCCTTCTAAAAGCAATGGTTGACGTGCCTGTTAAAACACCATGAGATACTTGCTGGCTACTTCTCTCTATTTTATTAACTTTTTACATAAAGTACTATTTATGATCATGCAAATTAAAAGTGCTTTACTGTAGGGTCTATTCTGTAATGAATACTGGAGAGATGACCTATTTGGAAGTGAATCACATTACAAATTCACATAACTCAATTTTCAGGATCTCTCTCATGCATACTAAGCAGGAATTAAAGAAAATGCAGACAAGTTCAAGACAAAAAATAAACATTTGTAATACGAGGAAATGTGCCTCTTTAAGAGTAATAAATGTGTGTCAAGGAAGAACAACAGTTCAAGGAATTGAATTTAGTTCCCACTGTTTGGAAGATGCTATATTTTAGAACATTTTAAAGTAGATGCTATTACATCTGGTCTGTGCGTAGCAATCATAAGAAAAACAGCATGTGATTTCCCAAGCGAGCAAAATAATTTTGGAGTCATAATGTACTGGGCTTGAGATTGGATTATGCATTCTTTTCTTAATCATCTCAATTCCTTAAAGAAATCACTTATACAGAAGTGAAAGGTTTCTAGAGTGGACTTGACATCTTTAAAAACAGAACTGCGGATATTCTTTTGAAGCAGGATCCTAAATGGCATGAATTTTTTATATCTATATATATTTTAACCTCACTACAGCTTCAGACTTACTTAAACAACATAAAATCTGTTTTTCTAAATCACTAGGTTATAAGGTTTAAAGTATGCAGGCACCAAGAGATGCAGACAGGCAATGAGTACAAGTTTCAAAAGCATTTCAAAATTATGATTGAAACTCGTTTTGTCTTTTGCTCCCCCTTCCCCATGGAGTGGCTATTCCAGATCCTCGCTACTCCAATGGCTGGGAATCCTCCCTCATTTCCAGTTTAGTTAATGGCTACTTTATCCCCACTTTTTTCTTGGGCCAATGTGGTTTTGTTCTTTTTCCTCGCCTGCTGTTTTCCACCCCCTGACCTGTCCCGGCCTTTCCGGGGCTCTGCATGCCCACAACTGCTCTCCTCACCTTTGCTGAGCTCCCGTTCCCCAGCGGTTCCCGCGGCCACACCGGATCTAGCCAAATTCATTCCTCCCGCACACCCAGAGCCTGAGCAATACTGTGAGGAGAATTCAGGAGCCCCAGATCGCTGCTTAATCAAAAGCTGTTATGAATGATGGGAAACCCCACCGAAAAAGGGCTTTGCATCAGCCCCCAATGCCTGCCTCCCTGCCAACAAACCGCCACGAACCAAACCGGGTTACCTGAAGGGGTAGGCAAAGGCTATGTCAATGCTGAGGTCACTCTCTGACTTGTTTGCACAGTCCACACTGAGGCGCAGTCCTCCAGAGTACCCACCGCATGTTGCAAATGCAAAGATTGCAAAAAGCTGTCAAAAACAAACAACATTTTTATTTTATTTCGTTTCAGCAACCACCACAAGCAGATCTGTGCAGCAGCTCTCGCTGCAGCACCAGCCCCCTCGGGTCAGGTTATCCATCACTCCGTGCACTCAAGGCATTGCCATACATTACTCCTACGCCCTTCCCAAAAGCCGACACAAAGAACCACAGAAGGTGAAGCTCTGTTGCCACACGTAGACAGACACAGCACCACTTGTCTGTGCCAGGCATCTCAGCCCTCCCCTCCTGCCTTGAACCACATTTGGGATTCACAACCCCGGCAGCTATTTAAACCATCCAGCTGACAGGCAAGCTTGGACAAGAGAAGGATGAATATTGACTGAGCATAATGAGTCAGTCTTAACCCAAATAAAACCCTGGCAGAAGTAATAAAACCCTGGCAGAAGTATTTATAAGGAGCAACCAGGAGCAGCAATAGTAGACCAAGACAGTTCCTGTGGCCACCATCCCATTACATGGCAAAACACAGACTTGTGCTGCCCCTCTTCCATTTAATGTGTAACTTGGAAAAGACACAATGATTTTTATTGTTTTTCCTAAATTACTACCATAACCAACGATGGATACAGAAGTGCAGTAAGCTGACACTCAGCAAAACAGAAAAACAATCCAGACGCAGGATAAGCTCAGGCAAACTGGAGAGGAACAGAGCTTGGGTGGTTCTGTTGCAAACCTGCATCACGTCTTAATCTTCCAGAAGAAAAAGGTGAAGAAGGGAGTGTGCAGGCCAGAAGATCATCAGCATCTACATTTATATCAAGGCTTCAGAGGAAGTGGAAACAGGAATGGGTGTCTTAAAACATCATTGATGCAGGCTTCCCTGGAAGAGCCTGAGCAGAAATGGGGACAGCTTATTTATGCACTTGTAATTTAAATTAAAGGACAGGCTAGATTTTGTTGATTGCAGCACTATAGAGCTGAAGTAACACTATCCATCAGCTTTAACAGAGTTGCTCTGAGATCTACAGTGGGGTAGATATGGGAAATGACAAGTAAACCCCTGATCCCAGCCACAATTAAATATGCTAAAAGCCATCAACAAAGAGGAAACAAACAGTGCACGCATCTGGAAAAGAAAGATTGTACTTGGACACTAAAAAAATATACAGCAAGCAGATGTAATGGCAAAATAAAGGACTGAACGACTCAGTAAAAGCAATATGGAAATATAATAAACAGAAAAAATAGACCTATCCTTGCTGCACAAGGCTCTGCAAACACGCTGTTAATCTGAGTTCTCCCAGCTCCCCGCACGAGCAAGGCCAGCCATTTCAGCAGCCTCCTTGCCCTTCAGCTTTGCATGTGCTTCTTTTCCCCAGACACTGCCAGGTTACAGGAGCAAGTCCTGAGCATCGGGGTAGGGAGAGCCTCCCCGACGGCGAGGTGATGGGCTGAGCACGGTGGAGCAGAGAGGATAACCGGAGAACAATGCAAGTTCCCACTCTGCTACTCACTGCCAGTGTGACGAGGGCATATCACCGAGGACAGATCTGCAAAGCTATTTAGATGCCCAATAAGGAAAGTTGATAAAAACTTTGATGGAATCAATTCTTCATGCTGAGCTCACTGAAAAAAAGGAAAGCTGAACCTTACTGTGAATTGACTTGTTAAGTATGTGCATGAAATACGTGTTTCTACTATAACTTGAATAGTGTTCTTTCATCCTAAATGAGAGGCTTCCTCTGTAAATACAAGAAGTTTCTGCCCTTACATGTATTACAACACTGAAAAATCAGTATTAATCATCTCAGTTTAATTTGTGAGGCGATGTTGGAAAACAATATATTAGGGAGAACAGGAGAGATTAGTGCTGACCTGCTTTCTGGCCTAATTAATGGAGTTGCAAATGCAAGTGTTTCGCAGGTACATAGAGAGGCACAGAGATTAATGCAGTGAGAGAGGGAACTGAAGGGCTGCGGTGTGACAGACCTGCCATCAAGGGAGAGTCACCTCTCAGCACGGGGACAAGCAGAGGAAAGAAACGCAAGTGCGATGCATCTCCCTTAATCAAGTACTGGAAATCAGCGTGTGTGCCACCACGTTTATTCACCACGGCCACGGAGCCATGCCCAAAAACACAGCTCAGGCTACCCCTTCTCAGACAGGATCTCCTCCGGAGTTCCTAGTTTTGCCTCTCCGCTGTTGAGAGCGCCTCTGACAGCAGACTCGGGCGCCCGAGTCTCAGTCCCTCAGGCAGTTCTGATCTAGCCCTTACTCACCTTCAGCCCCGCGTTCAGAGGCTGGTCGGATGCTTTCACTGCTCAGCAAACCCTTCAGCCACATCCCCCCAGGGCTGCCCGCGGGCTCCCACCCGCACCCGGCACACGCTCTGCTGCAAGCGCCCGGGCAGCACCCACAGGGCAGGTGGGAGAGGGAAAAGGACCCAGCTGGAGGTTTTTATACCGAACTTCTGCAAGGCCTCCGCCAACCCGAGCCTGGCTCTCTGCCGCGGCTGGGCTC